CTGGTGAGTGCCCCTCCCCCAGCGTAGTGCCCCGCGAGTGCGCGTGCGCTGCCCCCAATTCCTTTCCCCTTCACGCCCTCCGTCGCACCTGGCCACTTCTCAGGCGTGTGCGGATGGGGTGTGGGTCGGGGTCCTGGCTCATTTCCCTCTCACGCGTTTTTGGGCTTCCCGCTCGGAAATGAGCGTCCTGCAGATGCCTTTCCATGCTGGGGCGCTTGGCATGACCTGCCCCCCACCCCCCACCCCGGGACTAGTGGCGCGGGGCACTGTCGTCAGGGGCGGGGAGGGAGACAGCCCTGAGTGAGCTCTCTGGGCGGCGCTGGTCATCTTAGCGCCCACAGCTCGCAGCCCTTTGGTGTCGGACAGGAAAGACCGTTTAGAAATCAAGGCGGCCTCCACCCACACGGGAACCAATGCAGCCCTTCTAGGCTGCCTTCCGGCCTGGTTGGTGTTCACAGACTGGAGCTGGGGTCCCTGTCTCGTTGGGCCAGTCAGCACCTGGCAGGGACCTGCCCACGACTGATTCTCTGGCCTGTTTCCCTGTCTGTTCAATCACTGTAGTTTGGTCTGGAAGAGCCACCTAGCTCAAGTTGGCTCCTTTGAGTCTCTGGCTGCACTCTCATTGTGACCAGGTGGCTCTTGTGCCATCTGGGGTCACTGCCACCCACCGACCCTGTGGTGTGTCCTCCGATCCTCTAGTGGTATCCCGTGGTCTGCATCAGCTCAAAGATCTTAGTCCACTCGCAGGCCCAAGGCCCCTCACATCTGTCTTGTCCACAGCTCCCCCGGGGCTATAATTCCACATTTCCTCCTCAACCCCCCTCCCAGGCCCCTTCTATCTCTCCCTGCCAAACAGTTTGTGCCCCCCACCCCAACCCCCACCACACACACGTGCCACCTCTCGGCCTAAATGTTCTAGTGACCTACACAGTATCATGAACCAATTTCAGCCACATTTGCACCATCCCCTCCCATCAGCTCTGCTGCCTGACTGTCCTGCCTCAGAATGGTCCCATAGACCTGGTCAACTAGCTCTTGTCTCGAATGCCACCCGGGACTCCTGCCCCTTCTGCTGGACCACATTCATCTCCATCGCCATCTTGATGTCACCTCCAGCCTGGGCAGCAGCAATGGGCTCCTGGCCACACTGCCTCCATCCACACACCCTACAGCCGTCAGCAACTTGATTGGGCGCCAACTCTCACCCCGTTCCTAGCCCATTGGAGCCTTCATAGCTCACCCTCCATATCCTGGTGGCATGGCCCCTCTCACAGTGCCCGTGGGGGCCCTATAGGGCAGGGGCGTGGGAAAGGATTGCTGAGCAGACACTTCGAGGGAGGGGATGAGACGCTTGGAGTGGGTGATCCCTCAGAGATCCTGACTTGGGGTGCAAAGTGAGGAAAGGGGAGGCCCCAGCCAGTGGAGGCTGAGGGTTGTGGGCAACCTGCAGGGCAGAGGGCCCAGTTAAGGGAGACTCTCAGCATGGTGCAGGGGTGCTCAGTCAGGCTGAAAGGGTTCCAGCCAGGGCCTGACATGACTCTAGGCATGGGCTAGGGGCACCTCCTAAGAAGAAGCTGGACCCCTCTGCCCCTCCTCAGAAGGTGGTCTGAGCCCTGCAGGTCCACCCATAGAGGCCGGCTGGGTGGGTAGGAGGCACCTTGGAGGGCCTGGCCGGGGCCAGCTGACCCTGGGTGCCTGCCATGCTGGTAGAGAGCTTCCTGAATTCCCAGCTGCCGGCCACAAGCCCCCGTGTCTGAAGGCCCCAGTCCAGTGGAGACCAAAGTGTGGGTCACTGGGCCCAGTAAGAGTCGGATACAGCCAAGGAGTCAGGCACCATTTTTTATAAAAATGCATCGTCTCATTTTCCACTCTTTAAAATCACATTCAAAAATCGGCAAAGAAACGCACCGGGAGTGAGGAGATGGGGAGGGCGCGCCGCCCCAGCCCCGGGGGAGGCAGCACCACACACAGTAGCGCGATGGGCACGGGGGGCATGCAGCGAGGTGGCAGGTGGTGGTACTGACAGACACGGGCCTGGGGTGGGTGGTAAGGGAAGGGCTGCTCCTACTGTGCCCCCCTGCCACCGCTGCTGCTGCTGCTGCCCAGCCCCAGGCTGGCCGCTCGGCCCAGCCAGGCAGGTTTGGCACAGTCAAAAGTGGCCTTTCTGGTCCCTAAACCTGGGCCTGCAAGGAGGGATGCAGCACCCACTGCTATGCCGTCACCTGGTCAGGCCCAGTGTCCAGGGAGATGGGAAGGGCGGTGGCCAAGGAGCCCAAGTCACTCTTGGCAGCTCCTGGGGGCCTTTTCCCAGGGTGCTCCATGGGAGGCCACGTGGGAGAATTCCTGGAGCAGACCCGTGGCTTGCCCTGCGCTGGCTGGGCCTGAGGGCTGCCTATGGCTGCTGCTCTCCCCCCACAGGAAGACACTGGAAGCAGATGACCCCTGCGGGGGTCAGGGCTGGGGACAGCTGGGTGGGTGGCCACAGGAGCCAAGGCAAGCGGGGCCCCTGGGGTGTGGAGGTGCAGGGGAGCTGGGCCAGGCTGGGGCCACAGGATCATCACAATAATTACAAAATAAAACCTTTTCCGCTTTGCGGGAAAACAAATAATAAAAATTCGACAAAATAAATTAGAGGTTTATAAAAGGCGGGCTGGCAGTCAGAGGCCGTTGGCGCTGCCGCGCTGGATGAGCGGCACCTTGCTCAGCTCCACGACCGGTGAGCGAGGCTTGTTCTTCATCTTGGGCACGCGCTGCACCAGCTGCTGGGCCTCCCGGTAGGCATCGCGAAGCTCCTTCTTCCACTGCACCAGCTCGGGGTCGCTCTGCACAGCCCCGTGCGCGGGCGTCGTCAGACTGTGCCCGTGCCCCGCCCCCACCCCCGTGTACCCTGTGGGGTCGCGCTGCACAGCCCCGTGCGCGGGCGTTGTCAGACCGTGCCCCTGCCCTCCCCACCCAGCGCCACTCACATCACAGGGTCGCGCTGCACAGCCCCTTCTGTAGGCATGATCACACTGAGCATCCACGGCCCTGACACCCACCTCCGCGCCCACCCGGGGCCACTCACGTGGCGGGGTGGCGGGGGCACAGCCTTGTGCGCAGTGTGGTCAGAGAGGGCTACCCGTGCCCCCTCCCAGCCTCCCCTGCACCCCGCCCCCACTCACGTCGCACTGCAGCACGAACTGCTTCCCGCCTCGGATCTTAAGCAGCAGGCACTTGCGCTCCTTGATCTGCGTCTCCTCCACCGACTGGATCTCCTCCATGGTCAGCAGGCTCTGCTGCGGGGCAGGCGGCGGGCGGTGAGGGCGGCCTACTGTGTGCCCGCTGCCCTGACAGCCCTGAGCCCCCGCCCCAGTGGCCGCCACTCCTTACTGGGGCCTCGCCCTCGCCTCGCCACTCCAGCCGGTTGGGAAACAGGTAGAAGTAGCGCCGCTGCCACTGGGTCAGGAAGGGGTTGCCCATCTTGGCCATGTAGCCGTGCATGATGCAGTCCTTGCCCAGGGCGTAGTCTGAGCGACAGACAGAGGGAGAGGCCGGGCTCAGGGCTCAGTCAGTGCCCGCTGGCTGCCACTGCCGCCTGGCCGCTGGACCTCGGGCACACGCCCCCGGCCCGGCCCCTTCCTTGGCTCCTGGCAGCCTGCCTCACCCTCCTCGTGGCCCAGCTGCTTGTTTTTCGCCTTCTTGCGGGCCTCCAACCGGTCAGTCTCCGCGTTGATGGTGTTGAAGACGGTCTCGGCCACCTCCTGCTGCCACCGCTCAGAGATGGTCAGGGGGAAGTTTCGGTACAGCTCCTGGTCGCTGTCTAGTAACTTTACCCGGGCACAGGGCGGGGCAGACGGAGAGACACTCGTCTACTGCGGGCAGGGGCCATCTTGGGCCCCAGCTTCCCTGGGGCGTGGGATCTTAGGGCCCCCGAAACTGGACCTGGGGCTCCGGTGCCGCCCGGTACCTTAATCCCTTTTGTGTCCTCCTCATCGAAGGAGCCGATGTCGAAGGCGTCGGCTGCGTTCACCTCACCGCGGGGAGGGATCAGTGGGGGCGGGTACTGCGGCAACAGGGGCTGGCATTAGGCTGGGGACGGACTGCCGCTGCCCACCTGGCCCTGCCACCCACTCGGTTACCTTCTGCAAGAAGACCATCTGCCAGTCCAGGGAGCGGAAGAAATGGTTCTCCTTCACTTCCTGTGCCCTGTGGAGGGACGCCACCAGTCTGTCACCTGGGCCAGCTGCAGCCTCTCAGGAGCCTGCATCTGGGCCACAGGCAGGCGCCCCGGGTCTAAACCTTGGCTCGGTTCTTTCTCGCTGTGCCCCTAAACTTGCCCTGGCTTCCCTGCCGTCAAGCGGGCAGGCGGCGTCCCACCTCGGAGGGGGCGAGACCTCGGTACTTGGGCCTTTCACGGACTGATGGCTGCGCGGAGCTGCGTACCCACTCAGGATGTACGGTGAGCTGGCAGCGCCGTCGCCATGGTGTCCCCTGCTCCGAGCCACCAGCTGCTCTGGCAGCTGCACCCCAGGCCACCCCTCCACCGTGAGGAGGCTGGGTGGAGCTGTCTAGGGGCCCCTAGAGGAGCCCTGGGAATGGCAGGGTGCTTGTCCAGGGGCAGACGGAGGCATGCACTCACCCGCGACCCAGGCAGCCCAGCCTCCGGTTGACATCCCGCTGCAGTAGCCCCTCCAGCAGAGAGCGGAGTTCCGGGGAGAAGGAATCAGGCAGCTCCACGGCCTGCAGGGGGAGACGGGCCGTCAGCAGGACTCCTGAGGCTGCCGGGTGCACAGCCCAGAGAGGCCCATCCCAGCTGCCCAGTGGCCCTTCGCCCTGTCCGGTCTGCTCTGCCCTACCCCATCCAGAAAGGGTGCATGTGTGGGGGAGGCCAGAGGGAGAACCAGCACCCCGGAGCTGGTGGGGTGAGAACCAAGAGTATAAGACCCTGGCACCTACAGAGAGCCCCCCATCCCACACAGCCCCATATGGTTTCCAAGGACTCTGTCCAGTACCACTGGCCAGCCCCACCCCCACCCTGCCACCCCCATGCTCACCATTGTCAGCGTCATTCGGTCAATCTCGTGCTTGTCTTTGGTCTTATGCTGCCGGAATGGGCTATGCCTACAGGAAACCAGAGCCCAGGGTCAGAAGCCAGGTGTGGGTGAAGGAGCCTGGTCCAAGGCCAGGGCTGGAACCACCCCTAGCAGCCAGCATTGGGGACAGCCCCTCTTAGCACCCCCGCCCGCGGAGGTTGGGTGGGGTGTCACTCACCCCCGAAGCAACTTGAAGAGCATGCAGCCCAGGGAGAACCAGTCGGCACTGCTGTCATAGGCCACGCCCTTCTGCAGGACCTCAGGGGCCATGTAGCCGTGGGTGCCCCTGCGGAGCCAGGAGGTGTGAGTGGCTGGTTAGGGGAGTGGGAGGGGGTGTGGGTAGGTGGGAGGCAGCACTCACACGCTGGCGTGGGGCTTCTTCTTGGAGAAGTCGCAGGCCAGGCCCAGGTCCGAGATGCGCACGTGGCCATGCTCGTCCAGCAGGATGTTGGCTGGCTGTGGAGGGAGCCCAGGGGCTGAAGCCTGCTGGCAGGTGTCACCCAAACCAACAGCTTCACTGTGGAGGATTATGGTGCCCAGGGGCCATCTTGAATCCCCATGAGGGGCACAGGGCAGGAGGGAAGGGTAGAGAGGGGAGCAGCGGGCCTTCGGGGAGGGCAGGATGGGGACCCACCTTCAGGTCTCGGTAGACGACATAACAATTGTGCATGTGTTCTAGGCCCAGGATGATCTCGGCTGCGTAGAAGCGCATGTCGGCCTCAGAGAAGACCCCGTGCTGCGACAGGTGGTAATGCAGGTCTCCACCTGGCAGAGGGGGGTGGGGGATGGCAAGGACAGCCAGGAGGCCATCAGCTCCTGGCCCTGCCTTCCCCTGCCCCCAGACACCTTGAAGGCAGGCCACTGCTGGGATGCTCACCATTCATGAGGTCCAGGATGAAGCTGAGTTTGTCAGGCGTGTGGAATGCGTACGACATGCCGACGATGAAGGGGCAGTCCTAGGAAGGAAGGGTCAGCAGTAGGCAGGGTCCTGGAGAAGCCCACCCCATCCTGTCCACCCACCCCATGGGCCCTGGGGCTCACCCCGGTGCTGACGAGGGACAGCATGATGCGCTCGTTCAGGGCCAGTGTCTCCCCCTGCTTCATCTTGATGCGCTTCTTATCCAGACACTTCATGGCGTACCTGTGGGAGGGGCCGCACCGCACCGCTAGCTCTGGGGACCTTTGCGGAGGCAGCGAGGCTCCACTCCAAGCATGGGACACAAACCAGAGATTCTGGGGTGGGGGGTTGGAGGGAATGCTGATGGCCCAGGGACCTATGGGGCAGTGGGTGCTGCTCAAGCAAAGGCAGGAAGGGAGGGGGCAGCCAAGGGCGTAGGGTAGGGAAAAGCATAAGGGATAGTGTGGGGAGCAGCGCAGGGACAGCACGGGGAACAGTATAGAGGACTGTGCAGGAAGCATTGTAAGAACCAGCGCAGGAATAGTGCAGAGAGGCCAGTACAGGGAAGACTGTAGGGGAGAGCCTCGGGGCATAGGGAAGGGTCTCGGGAAGAGCCTCGGGAAGAGCACGGCAAACAGTGCAAGCAACAGTGTACACAGTGTGGGGCCAACGTAAGAAACAGCAGAGAGTGGGACAGGGAATGATGTAGAGAACTGTATAGGGAACAGCGTAAGTCCAGTGTAGGGAACAGACAGAGAACTATATAGGGAATGGCATAGGGAACAGCAGAGAACTGTACAGGGAACAGCACAGAGAACTGTACAGGGAACAGCACAGAGAACTGTACAGGGAACAGCACAGAGAACTGTA